CCCCCCTCCCCCCCTCCCTCCCTCTCTCTCTCTCTCTCTCTCTCCCTCTCTCCCTCCCTCCCCCCCCCCCACACTCCCTCTCCCCCTCCCCCCCTTCCTCCTTTCCTCTCTGTATTAGCCAGAACCAGGCATCAGTGCCTGCATCTTATTTTTTGCACCTAAAAGTTCTCTATCTTATTCACTTCAAGGCAAGTGATATCATTCTCCCTTTTTCAAAATTATTCCTCTACCTGGTTTCTTCATCCCATCTCCTCCTTCTCCTCCAGAGTCATCTGTCTCTCCATTTACCCCTTTCATTTCCTCCACCTCTTCTTCTCCATTTCCCCTCCCTCACAGACCAGACCATAAACACATCAGGGTCTTCGCATCTTAAAGAAGCAAATGACGTGAAACTCTTCCCTTAAAGTGATAAATAAATTATAGCAGATTATCCTTCAAAAACATGGTGGCATTGTGAAGACAAACGCCCACTAGCTTTGTGCGGAGACTTCCTTTCACTGCCAAACTTCATGTCCATCCTAAACGGCAGCTACCTAACTAGCCTCTTTGCCTTTGGCCTCTCCCTCCAGGAATCCAACTCACACCAGCTGCCATATGAATCTTCCTAAAAATTATGCCTTTGTATATGTCACTTTTCTTACAGGATTAAGCACAAATTCCCTCAGCTGGGATTTATGGGCAAATTCACAACCTACCTCTGTTTCTGCCTCTCCCAGTCCCTCCCCCACAAAAAAAGGTCTCTTCACTATATTTCCTCATGAATCTTCTACTCGACCAGCTGGACTGCATCATGGGTGGCATTTCCTCTGCATCATCTTTCATGGTGTCCCTCCTCGAATGCACTCCTCACTTTCCCCCCCACCGATTGCCTAAGCTCCTCACTTGCTTCAAGTCTAGCTCATCACCTGCTCCTCCAAGAGGCTTTCCCCACTAGCACCAGGCCAGAGGGGACTGCCTCCCCCCAGACACTCTCAATGGTTAATAACTGCCCAGCTCACTGGGGGCTGATCACCAGGATGTGCAGTCTTGCACTGATATGCTCAGCTGTAGTCTATGTCCTGGCAGAAATATATTATATTATACCTCTTTATATCCCTCTTTTCTATTGGCACTTAATCTTTCTTATAATGAAAATAAGCCTGGCTAGGTAATAAAGCTTTTCATAAGAGGGTCACAGAAAAACCATCAACGAACATTTCTCAGAACTGCAGACAGGTTGAAAAGGAGGGCATATTGATTATTTCTTCTTCTTCTCCTCCTTTTTTTTTTTTTTTTTTTGATACTGAGGATAGAACCCAGGGGTGCTTAACCAGTGAGCCACAACCCCAGCCCCCACCCTTTTTAAATTTTATTTAGAGACAGGATCTTGCTGAGTTGCTAAGTGCCTTGATGATAAGTTGCTGAGGCTGGCTTTGAACACACGATCCTCCTGCCTAAGGCTCCTGAGCTGCTGGGATTACAGGTATGAACCACCACACCTGGCATATTGGTTATTTCTTCATCTGGTACCTGGTAGAGGTTGACATTGCTATAAATGTTCTCCCAGATCTGGTCATAGTTGCACTGAGGCGAACTCTGGGAAGACATGAAAGACGGATGGTGCGGAGATAGCATGATTATCTTGGCAGCATGGTCCTGGAGTACTTGCATTACTCGCTTGGGGTTAGAGATCTTAGGTAGAACAGAGAGGAGAAGGAATTGTTAGCAGAAACATTTTCCCCTTCTTCTCAGCTAGCATTTGGTCATACACACACACACACACACACACACACACACACACACACACACGAACAAGAAAGAAACCCAAGATGGGGACTTTATTCAATTAAAAATAACATTGAATTTAAGCATCACGATTACCCAAACATGTTCATTCACTCAACATCATAAATATTCAAATATGCATAGTAACTCAAAATTCTGTGACCACCCCCAAGACAGTATCAGGTAGCATTTGCACAAGTGTTGTGGCACCAATGAAATGATAACATCCATCAGCTCTAGATGAAACTGAAGGAACTGCTATGAGATGGAGGAAGAACAGCAGAGAAGCAGAATGAGAAACCAGACATAGAACTGGGCTTATATCCTTCCTGGAATCGTGGCTTTTCCACCCAGAACAGAGTATGTCGACCTAACAAAAAGACTGGGAATCTCTCTCCCCAGATTCTGGAGGCATGGAATTGAATAATGGCCCCAGAATTGAACATCAACTTCAGGGATTCATGTATTACTATATCATTTTAGTATCAAAAATCCCAGAAAATAACAAATGTTGGTGAGGATGTGGCAAAATTAGAATCTTGCACACTCTTAGTAGGATTATAAAATGGTGTAACAGTATGGAAAGTATTGTGGAGCTTCCTCAAAAAAATCACAAATAGAATTAATGTATGATTCAGCTATTTTACTTCTGGTTATGTATATTCAAAAGAATTGAAAGCAAAACCTCAAAGAGATATTTTCACACCTCTAGCAGCATTATTTACAGTAGCCATGAGGTAAAAGCCACCTAGATATACATCAATAGATGAGTGGATGAATAAAATGTGGTATACATTTATATGAATCTTTAAAAGGAAGAAAATTTTGACACATGTTCAACATGGACAAATCTTGAAGATATTGTGCTAAATGAAATAAGTTAGCCATAAAAAGACAAACACTGTATGACTTCATTATATGAAGTATCTAAAGTAGTCAAGTTCATACAAACAGAAAGTAAAATGATGGTTGCCAAGAGCTGAGGGGAGATGGGGAATGGGGAGTTGTTCAAAGGGTATAGAGTTTCAGTTCTCTTTGGAGAAAGTTCTGGAGATCTGCTCACAACAATGTCATTACATTTAACTCTACAGAAATGTATACTTAAAATGGTTAAGATGGTAAATTTTACGTTAAGCATTTCTACCATAATAAAAAAAGATCATTTAGTCCAATATTTGTATTTCACAGATAAGAAAACTAAGGCTCAAAGAGGTTTCATGACTAGACTAATATCACACAGAGACTTAACAATAAATCTGTGCTAAAGTCTAGCTCCTTTGACAATTTTTATTCTCTACTGAAAGCTAACAGGATTTTAAAAGTTGGATGGATTGGAAAGTTCCAAATACAGCCTTCACTTTGAATCCATGCTAACATTTTTCAAAAGGGAAAGAAATTTCCTTTTTTTTTTTTTTGAGGATGAATTTTATCTACAAGAGAACATAGTTCTTTTCTTACCTTCAAAAACTTTGCTTGGAGTTGCATTAATACATCTATTCTTCTCCTTTCTTTTAGTTTGGTCAACATCTTCTTCTGCCAAGGATCACATTTTGGTTTGATCTAGTGGACAAACATATTCACATAAAGTTGCAACATAACAGGATGGTTTTCAGTAAAAGCTGCAAACAAAAAGATTCAGACTTTCTGAAGTGGGATCTGGCCCAGGTACTAGGTACTAGGTACTAGGTTTGCTAGAACATGTGAGATCCTGGGAAGGGTCTGCATGGGATCACAAATATGTGGAAGGAGTCTGCAGTACACAATCTATGAGCAGGAGGCACCCTGATTCCATCACGGTTGGGCATTGCATTTTATTCATGAAATAAGAGAAAGAAGTTCACCCATGGACTCCTTTCCAACTCCATTTTAAAACATCATGACTCACATTAACACATTGTATTTCAAAAACTAGTTCTGTTGTCGGGTGCAATGGCACATGCCTGTAATCCCAGTGGCTTGAGAGGCTGAGGCAGGAGGGTTGCAAGTTCAAAGCCAGCCTCAGCAATTTAGGAGACCCTAAGCAACTCAGTGAAAGCTTCTTTTTCAATAAAATATCAGAAAGGGAGTATATACACAAAGGACTGAAAATCAGCATACTATAGTGTTGTTGCCACATCAATTTATAGTAGATCAGTTTCACAATAGCTAAACTATAGAACCAGCCTCGGTGCCCTTCAACAGATGAATGAATAAAGAAAATGTGGTATATACACACAATGAAATATTACTCAGCCATAAAGAGAAATGAAATTAAGGCTTTTGCCAGTAAGTGAATGCAACTGGAGAATAACATGCTAAGTGAAATAAGCCAATCCCCCAAAACCAAAGGCTGAATGTCCTCTCTGATATGCAGATGCTAACACACAATGAGTGTGGGGAGTAGGGAAGAATAGAAGTACTTTGGATTAGACAAAGGGAATGAAGAAAAGAGAGGGGAGAATGGGAATAGGAAAAGACAGTAGAATGAACGGAACATTACTTTCTTATGTTCATATAGAAATACACGACCAATGTAATTCCACATCATGGAATTACAACCAGAAGAACAGAAAGTTGTACTCCATGCATGTATAATAAGTCAAAATACATTCTACTGTCATGTATAACTAAAAAGAACAACAACAAATAAAGGGTGGGTGTGTGGCTCAGTGATTAAGTGCTTTTTTGTGTGTGGGACTGGGTTTAATCCCCAGTCCCACATACAAAAAAAAAGCTCTGTGTTTGTAAATACCATTGGTATGCTAATAACTCTCAAATTCCCATTCTCCCCTCTTTCCCTCATTCCCTTTGTCTTCCATACTCCCCACACTTATTGTGAGTTAGCATCTGTGTATCAGAGAGAACATTCAGCCTTTGGTTTTTTGTGATTGGCTTATTTCACTTAGCATGATATTCTCCAGTTCCATCCATTTACTGGCAACTGCCATAATTTCATTTCTCTTTTGGCTGAGTAATATTTCATTATATCTGGTTTTAGCTTCTTGTCTAACTATCTCCTTGATATCTATATGTCAAGTTTAGCAATCTAAAACAGAAAATTCACCTTCCTTTATGCTGACCACCTGTGTGCAGGTCCCAAACCCAAACTTTGATTTCTCTCCTTTCAGTCCACAGGTCAGAATACTATGCTCAGAATATCTGTGTCCCTCTAAAATTCACTTGTGAAGGTCTGTAGGAAATAATTAGTTTGTGAGTGTGGAACCCTCATGAATATACTTAGTGCCCATACAAATTAAGCCTGAGAAAGTTTGTCCTTTTTATCTTGTGAGGACACAGCAAGAAGTCAGTAATCTACAACCTGGAAGAGGGCCCTCACCAGAGCCCAATCGCAATGCCACTTTGGACTTCTCAGCCTACAGAACTGTGGGAAATATATTTCTGTTGTTAATAAACTACCAAATTTATTTTTATTTTGTTAAAGCAGTCTAAGTGAACAATGAGAATCATATGAAATTTTCTTTCCCTCATAATACAATTAATCCTTATCGTGCATGGATTTCATAGTTTCAATTTTACCTACTCACTAAAAATTACTTGTGACCCAAAATTTGACACTGGTAGAACTGTCACAGTCCTTCAAAATCATGCACAGAGTGGTGAACAATTGGAGTTGCTCACATGAGGCAACATGGTGCCTTCTCCTAATTTTAAAGGATACTAGAGAGAAGAATCCTTTGCATAGTCTATTTAGAGACACACTTTTTGCATTTTTCCATGCTTTTTGTTGGTAATTTCATTGTTAAAATGGTCCCTAAGCAGAGTCCAATATAGCATGTTGTCTAGTGTTCCTAAGCACAAGAACGCTGTGGTGTTCTCTATAGAGAAAATACATTAGATATGCTTCATTAGTAAATGAGCCAGAGTGCTATTGACCTTGAGTTTAATGCTAATGAATCAATAATATATATTAGCTGGGGATGTGGCCTAATGGTAGAGCATATGCCTGGCACATGTGTGTGGCCCCTGGATTTGATTCCCATCACTGAAAAAAAAAAAAAACTAAAAAAAAAACCCAAACCTTTAAATTATATATATATGTATATATAAATAAGGTGTCTTTAAACAGGAACACACACAAAACAAAGTTATGTATTGATTAATGTTGTGAGCAGAGGATCACAGGAACCTAACCCCTGCCTTTCCCCTAGGAAAGATATGATATGGTATCTACTAAAGCAGTATTCCTTTCTAGAACACAACTTCCTAGAATGAGAATTGATTGCTCTTAGCACTACCCAAAATCATCTTATTTAATCTTCTTACTTAGATGTTTCTTATTAATTGTGCTTTTCCAGCACCAGTGATTGTGCCTGACAAAGAATTTACTCAATGCTAGTTTTTAAATAAAAAGTTCGATTTACACGAGTCAATTACACCTTTGGGCATTATTCTTTGTTCTTTCCAAGTACTGGAGATCTTTAACCATAAGAAGGGAGATTGGATCAGGACAGAGGTATCTGGAACTTCCAGAGGAGGCACATCAGCGTGGCTAATATCCACACAGGCAGCCAAAGTGCTGGGAGGCCTGATGCACAAGGCCAAGTTCTCTGTGTGGTCTCCTCTCAGGAATCTTCTGGGGGCACTAAGGAGAAGGGGCAACAGGGACCAGATAGACCTGGTGCTACCATGTTGCCTGGCCTGGTTGGAGGAAAATCTTGTGACACTGCTGACATCACTGACAGGTGATTGTCACCATAGGCCCCCTTACCTTTATAAAGGAGATCCAGTTGGCTCTCTTTTTCAGGGCTATAGGTGGTCCTGACAAATTCTCTGCTTTAGCTATTCCAGCCTCGTAGTCTGGAAACATCTGCATTCTCTGTTGCTCTGTGAAGATGCTTTGAAATTTTTGGAAAACCTATATAAGATTTAGAAGAGAGAAGTGGGGAAAAAAAGTCTTGGATGATATGCAATTTCAAAAACAGCTACTGATTATCTTTGAAATAGCCCTGGAGTCAAATTGATTCATAAAACAGGAATCTGATAGCAATAGGACCTTACATGGACGTAGCTGTGTGGCACATGTGCAGTCAGCTCCTTACCATAACTGTGTTTGTGTCACTTATCCTGAATGTCTGCTCAAAGATTGGAAATACGTTAGCATATTTATTTGTGTGTATTTTGAGCTGGGCCCTAAATGTGAGAAGTACATTGTCCACATCTGGAAACGTTTTGACTTTTTTCTGACCACCTCATAAAATAGAACATCCAAAGGCCAAGTATATCCTACTCTCAGAAGCCTGATTGGGATGTTACTAGAAAGAAGAGTCCAGATGCTAGAACCTCTTAAAACTTTTTAAGGTACCTTGGCCTATTCCCTTCACATCTCACTCCCAGACTGAGGCTGCAAATGCTTTCTATGACATGACTTCCTACTACCAAAGTGCTGAGCATTTCCTCCTTTATTCTCCTGAGTGGCCCCAGGGTCCACTGGCCCTGTGGTGGCACCTCCATGATGCAATAGTGTAACGTCCTTAATGACACTGAACCATCTCCTTAAAATGTTCCAAATGGCAAATTTTATGTTATATGTATTTTACCGTACATGTACATACACACGTACAAACACACATGTACATGCACATACAAAGAACCCACCATGCATGGTGCTGGCACATACTAAGATCTCAACAATGGTTTCTGAAGTGAGTGAGCAAGTGTGTGAGTTACAGAGCTGAATATTCTTCCAGTGCATACTGGTGCTTCTGTGGCTGTCGAATACAGTTGCACCTCGCCACATGTGGCATTTTAACATTTAATTGTGGATTAATTAAAGATTAAGTAAACTGCCAGGCACAGTGGTACACACCTGTAATCCTAGCAGCTCTGGAGGCTGAGGGAGGAGGATCGTGAGTTCAAAGCCAGCTTTAGCAAAAGCGAGGAGCTAAGCAACTCAGTGAGTCCCTGTCTCTAAATAAAATACAAAATAGGGCTGGGGATGTGGCTCAGTGGTCAGGTACCCTCAGTACAAAAAAAAAAAAAAAAAAGAAAGAAAGAAAAGAAAAGATTAAGTAAACTTGAAAATTTAGTTTCTCAGTTGTAGTAGCCACATTCCAAGAGCTCAATAGCCATAGGTGACTACTGGTTACTTACAGGTTTCAGAGCAGCCAACATATTCATCACTGGGAAATTCAGCAAGACAGTGCTAGACTAGGACTGAATTGCACATTTTCTTCAAGGGCCAGATAGTAAGTATTTTAGTCTTTACAGACCACAGGGGCTCTGTTGCAACTACCCAAGACTGCTGTTGTAGTGAAAGCAGCCATAGATAATACATAAATGAATAGGCATGATTATGCTATTGTCTGAATATTTATTTATGATCCTACACAATTCGTGTATTGAAATCCTAATCCCCAAGGTGGTGGTATTAGGAGGTGGGGCCTTTGGGATGTGGTGAATAGCATTAGTGTCATATAAAAAAACCCAGAGAGATGCCTTTCTACCATGTGAAGACACAGCAAAAAGGCACCATTTATGAGCCAGAAAACAGGCTCTCACTAGACACTGTATCTACCTTGGTCTTGAACTTCTCAGTCTCCACAAGTATAAAAAATATATTCTTTTCATTTATAAGCCACCGAGTTATAGCCATCTAAATGGGCTGAAGCACTGTATTCCAAACAGTTTGATTTTCGAAAAACTAGTGTTGGGCAGCAGGCTTTGGGTTTGCTGAACTGACTCTGCTCCAGGGACATTAAAGTACCAGAATAAACAGTATCTAAACATAAGAACTCTCCCTACACAAAAATGTTGTTGTAATATGATTGATTAGCTCAGGAGCACAGTTAACGTTGCGCATAATATTATTATAAGAAAATCAAATGGCAACTATCACTACATGGAGGAGACAAGTTGTCCTTTGGAACAAGGCTGCTTTGTTGGAGTGCCCAGCTGGCCTGTGTCCTCTTGTTTATCATTGATAATAGTCTACTGTGCTACAACTTATTATTACTTATTCTGTTCTTTTTAAATACCATCCTATTCCTGTTCTGTGTTTTGCCCTTCATAACACTTGGTGATGATAAGGCTGAGGACACTCCCTAGAAGCCCCGTGAGGACAGCGCTGCTGGGACACAAAAAGAAAAACAAAAGCTAAACATCATCACCTTCAAAGAAACTGGAGAAATGTGATACCACTGGTTTCACTGAACTGTGTTACTAATGGAAATGATGGAAATGATCCCAGTAAAATGATGCAACAACAAGTACAAACACAAGGGCAACTTCAAGGTCAAACAAATGATGATAGAGGAGAGAGTAGCCCTTGTCATATGAAGAGCAATCCAGAACACTCAGATTTGATTTTTGCCCATTTGGATCCGTCCATTTGTTACTTTTATCTAGCAAATATATACATTTGCAAATAATATCAGCTAGAGGTAGAAAACTATTTTTATTGTCAAAACATTTGCTGAAAAATTTTGTTATATCCGATGCTCTTCACCCATACTCCTGTTTTTCCTCTTGCAACAAGTTTTAACACGGCTTTTGATGATGTGAGTTCCTTTTTCAGGTTATACAACACTGTGTTTTCTTGTTTTTGTTTTGTTTTGCTTTGGGAGGGGAGGTACCAGGGATTGAACTCAGGGGTGCTTGACCACTGAGCCACATCCCCAGCCCTATTTTGTATTCTATTTAGAGACAGGGTCTCACTGAATTGCTAAGCACCTCGTTGTTGCTGTAGCTGGCTTTGAACTCATGATCCTCCTGCCTCAGCCTTCTGAGCCACGGGGATTATAGGCATGTGGTACTGCACCCAGCTAACTCTGTGTTACAGCAGAGAAGACTGTGACTCTAAACCTCACGACACAAGGTACACTTTGTTGAATATAAAGCATTCTGTCAGCAAGGAGAGAACTGCCACACATTCTGAGAATCAGAGGGCTTTAGACACTTGATGGCTCTACCATGCAAATTTGCCAGATCTTGGCTACATTTTTAGTTCCTACAGACTGTTGCCCAGTCTTTTCTTTAAATTCTGCAGAGAAAAAAAATCCTTCAGTTCCTCTGTGTTTGCCATTGGAGGGTCACATTCCTCTTATGGAAAGTAAGTTCTTCCTAACTGCCAACCTAAATGTCACCTATTACTATTTTATCATTCTAGAAACAACCTTGGCCATATAAATATGCATCTTGGTGGAAAATAATGGTGTTTTTCTTCATGGACATCTAGATTTATTAAGAGTACATATAGGGGCTGGGGTTGTGGCTCAGTGGTAGAGCGCTTGCCTAGAATGTGTGAGGCACTGGGTTTGATTCTCAGCACCGCATATAAACAAACAAATAAATAAAGGTCCATCAATAACTAATAAATTTAAAAAAAGAGTACATATAGTACCAAGGAAAAAAGTTCCATTTCCTTAGCAGAGTTCCTTAGCTCCTGCAGGTCGTATGGGATATGGAAGTGTGACAGCAGGAGCCTCAGCTGAGGTTTCAGTTCTCCTGTTTCTGTTGTGTGTTGGGGCAGGATGAAATCAGCATCTGTTCTCATTGGCCCTGAAAAAGATCCAAAATCAAGAGTGTGAAGGCCAAAGAATACAGGAGGGTCTACAGAAAGGCACAACCAGGCGGCCACACATCAACGCAGTTCTCACAGAAGCATCCAGGTTAGGTTCAAGAGCAACACTTTGCTTTGATAGGGAAGGAAAGAGTTAGAGGTAGAACCTCAGAGGGTCCTTGGAGATAACTAAAGGTAGGCCCTCCTCTGCCCCTTGCCCAGCCTTCTCTGCCACATTTATAATCAGCACCACACTTGGCCAGGTGTATCCGACAAGTCCTCGGAGCTAGATTTCTGCAGGAGAGAGACAGGACTCCTCATCCTCTCACAGCCTGCAGGAGGAACCCAACAGATCTTTGGGAAATGACTAAGTGGAAGCATCCCTGCCCAGAGTTCTTTGTGGCAAATGAATTATATCACTTAAACATTAATCAACAAATGAGAAGAAGGTGAGAGCTTTCATCATCTTGTGTCTAATTCCTACTCAACTCTAAGGACCCAGCTGGAACTCCCCTCCTCTCCATCAAGAAAACTTCTGAGATCCCCATCACTGAGGTTGGCTGCCACTCCCAGGTGCTCCTGAGACACTCTGTGCATACCCTAAGCAAGAATGGTACTCTACGTTACATCAGTGACCATCTGTAACACAAAACCAGGAAGACTGTATGAAATTGATTCTGATGAATAATTAGTTTAGAATTGTGTGATCTTAAAACTGAAAGGAACACTAGAGATCACTTAATCTAAAAGGCTTATTATGTAAAAGTAAACTGAGGCCCAAGGAAATGCAGGCCTAGATGAGCAGGGCAGAAACAACCCCAGAACCCAAATCTCCTGATGTCAAGTCCATTTTTTCCCTTTCTCTTAATTTGTGAATTACAAAGATCAAAATGTCTAAGGGAAGTGGTTAGCGATTTTTCTCATCAGAAAACATAAACTTAACATTTGTTCATTAGGAAGATACAACTTTTGATACATAGAAAAATGTTTGCAAGATCATGGTACAAAATAGCACATGCCCCCAAACACAATCTTCTTTTCTCCACATAACCCTAGGGGGAAGAAGACTAATTTCTTACCTGAAATGCTAGTATCCACCAGGCCAGAAGATGCAGGACCCTGGATGTTGGGATCCATGTCATTGACACAGACCTTGTCATTTTCCTGACCAGCCTCGGGGTCTTGGTTGTCAGCTGGACTCAGCATGTTGGAGATGGGCAAATACTGGAGGGCCTACAGAGGAGTACAACCATAAGCCACACATCAACCTGATTCTCAGGGAAGCTTCCAGACTCAGGTTCAGAGCAGCACTTTGCTTTGATAGGAAAGGAGGGAGCTAGAGATGGGACCTTAGGAATCTGCTAATGATGAGGAACTAAATTTGAAAATGGGAAACCAGTATTGTTACCAACTCTGGGTGACCTTAACCTCCAGCCAGTTCTACACCAATCACACAACCAAAACAGACAAAGCCCTGCGAGGTACGAATGATATAAAGAGAGACAAGGGCTGGGGATATAGTTGAGTTGGTAGAGTGCTTGCCTCACATGCATAAGGCCCTGGGTTCAATCCCCAGCGCCACAAAAATAAAGAAATAAATAAAAAGAAACAAGGTGGTTCCCCACCTTGGAATTCATGTTTTGGTGGAGGACCTAAATGGATGAGCAGATATTTATACCACCATGTGAGTGGGGAGAGGTATTAGAGGTGTAGCCCACAGTGACTAGACGTGAGAAAGAAGTCAAGTCAAGTGATGGCCAGGTTTCTGGTTTGAACTCAGTGGTGTCACTGAGATAAGGAAGAAAGGAGTAAGAAAAGATTTAGGTAACCAAAAAATAATCTTTCTAAAATGGAAATGTAATCATGTAACTCGTTTGTGACCCTCCAGCATGAGTTAGGTCCTCTCCTCTGTGCCTTTACCTTATACTTGCTTAGTTTATTTTGTCTTACGCCATTGCATTTCAGTAAAAGTTTACTTGCCCTGCCTGCCTGGGACCTCATTACCTTTCAGCAAAGAACACATTTTGGTGTGTGGCCTAGGACAAGTAGCTGTCAGACCCTCATTAAACATTGCTGACTAACAAAGTGGACTCTGGTTGAAGAACATAAATCTTGAACAGAAAACAGGATGAAAACAGGAAGTTACAGAGTGAATGGGAAATAGTACATCTGAGCCATCTTTGAAAGAGCTGAATTAATGCAGTGATTTCAACGGAGCAAGTTTTTCAAAAAATTCCAGTGACTCATTGCTTTCCTGTCCTTTTTAGAGCAAGTAGAGAACAGAAACCCTGACAAGGTGATGCTAGGTGACAGATGCGAGAAAACAGCATGGTGGCCATTCGTGGAAGTGCACCACAGAGTCACGTGAGCATCTGACATACCTGCAGATAGTGGTGAACAGTCCTGAAAGAGTGTAGGTGACACACTAACCACCTTGTGTAAATTGTCACATCTTCCAGCATCACTAAGTTAGGAGGATTCTTTTTTCCCATAAGGAAGTTTTCTCGAGCAATGGATAATCTTTCAGCTCTCTGGACAGCATCACTGTATTCCTGCATAATGTAGCCAACTCGTTTCTGTTTAAGAGAGATAGGAAGACAGAGCTTGGCATTGGTAAGCCTTATTCTCTGTGCCATTGGCTTCCAAGCATAGGAGAATGATGTCTGGGGGCCAAATAAAGTGTGATTCCCAAAGTTCCACTTATATTCTGAATTTGACTGATAAAGGCAGTGTTCATATTCTTAATGAGGACTTTGAAGGAGAAAGACTGCAGTCAGTGCATGAGGAGATTTAGTTACTGCACTCAGCTTTTGAGCTGTCACCTACAGCAGCGGAAGCCAAGTCTAGAGAGAAACACACATATTCTATCATATAAAACTTTCTTCATATCTCATTCTTAAAAATAGGAACCATTATCTTCTGCCACTAGCAGAACAGGCAAGAAGATGCACCAATCGATTCCTTTCCTATCTTTATCAATGATTTAAAAACATGGACAAGCTCATTGACCATTATATTTATCATAAAAAAATAGCCCACAGAAGTTAGCCAATCCCCCCAAAAACAAATGCCGAATGCTTTCTCTGATAGAAGGAGGCTGACTCATAGTGGGGTAGGGAAGGGGAACATGGGAAGAATAGATAAATTCTAGATAGGGAAGAGGGGAGTGAGAGAAAGGGAGGAGGCAGGGGATTAGCAAGGATGGTGGAATGTGATGGACATCATGATCCAAAGTGCATGTATAAAGACACAAATTGGGTGTCAACCTACTTTATATACAAACAGAGATATGAAAGATTGTGGTATATATGTATAAGAAGAATTGTAATGCATTCCGCTGTTGTGTATTAAATATATATATATATATATATATATATATGAAAAAAATAGCCCACAGGTACTGTTCATGGTTTCCTACCTTGTAAAGAGGATAAAGTTGCTCCATGGTCTTACTGTGCTGGCAAAACCTCTTCCACCTAGCCATGTGTAAATATTTACACTGGGCCAACTGGGTAATTCTCTCTGTGTAATACTTTAACCAAAAAGAAAAAAAAAAAAGCACTTAGCAGAACACTATTGTAATAGGAAGACTGACTTAATTCTTAAGAACACAAATTTAAAAAGTTGGGAAAGAAAGTACACAAATAATAGGTAACTCAAACGCTGATTGTTTTTAGAAAAATGTACTTTTCTACATGAAGACCATAAAATTAAGAAGTCTGGCACATGATACCATTCAAACTTAATATGTAGAGACTTCTAAATTTTCCTGATACGTTGCCAAGTGAATAGTTTATAAGCTCATTTATAAATTATAGAACAATCTTAGCAGTGATATTAAGGTCTATCAAATTATCCTATGTAGGCTTTAATTTTCTATTAAGAACTGAAATTATGATTCAAAATGCAAAGTACAATACAGGTAATATTAAAGCTTTTAACCTCAGATCAGAAGTTTTATTTACACTTAAAAATATTAAATAAGGGCTGGGATTATGGCTCAGTGGCAAAGCGCTTGCCTAGCATGTGTGAGGCACTGGGTTCGATCTTCAGTACCACATAAAAATAAAATAAAGGTATTTTGTCTATCTACAACTAAAAAATAAAATAGTTAGGGGCTAGGATTGTGGCCGGCAGTAGAGAGCTTGCCTAGCATGTGCGAAACACTGGGTTCGATCCTCAGCACCACATAAAAATAAATAAAATAATGGTATGTGTCCAACTACAACTAAAACAATATTTTAAAAAAGTAGTTAAATAAGCCAGGCATTGTAGCACATGCCTATAATCCCAGCAACTCAGGAGGCTGAGGCGGGAGGATAACAAGTTTGAGGCCAGCCTTAGCAACTTAGGGAGACCCTTTTTCAAAATAAAAAGGGCTGAGGATGTAGCTCAGTGGTAGAGTACCTCTGGGTTCAATCATCAATCCTCATACTGAAAAGAAAAAAAAAGATTAAATAATCTTTTGAAAATGTTTTATTTCTAATAATAAAAATAATACTGGCTATGATAGAATAACCGGGACTAGCTCTATCATGTCCTTCCATCATAAGCAAGTAGAAAATTGGAAAAAATAGGGGCTGGGATTGTGGCTCAGTGGTAGAGCGCTCATTTAGCACATGCAAGGCCCTGGGTTTGATCCTCAGCATCACATAAAAATAAATAAATAAAATAAAGGTATTGTTTCTAACCCTCCAAAAAATAAAAAAAATGTTAAAATAAAAAAAGAAAATTGGAAAAAATATACAAGTCAATTGTTTTCTGACTGTGAATAGGACTGTAACACCTACAGGAAGGAAACAAATAATGTCAGACTCCTGTCACCCTGTAGTTTCTGAGACATGGAAAGGAACAGGGAATCCCAAACAGAGTAAGTATTCTCTCTGAGTTAAGAAGGGAGAAAGTGAAATTTGTAAGTGGAGTCAGGAGTTTGCAGAGTGGAATACTAGAGAGGGGAAACTAGGTAGAGAAAGGACTCCAGAAATCCGCAGCGATCCCTTGAAGTCTGTGGCTGAATATCTAGCCAGGGGTGTAGAGGGTGAAACTCCACGTTGCTGCACCAAGGAGAACTGACTGGGTGTTGTAAACTGAACAGATGTTCAAGATCCACCCAGCCAGAGCAAAGGAGCTTCATTGGGTACCGGATCTTCACTGGGACCCAGGACATTCAGTGGACACAACAGGGGCTTCAGTAATAAGGACAAACTATGACTATAGTAAAGTTATTCTAAACCCACTCTAACAAACTTAAAAGCAAAGCTCGAAAGGATTAAACTGATATGTAACTTAAAAGTCTGCTGGAATAAATTCCAACACTCACTCTAAGGAAAATACAAACTCTGGCACCCAGGAATGAAAAGTTGACAATTTTCAGCAATCAAAATTTATTAGAGGGCTGGGATTGTGGCTCAGTGGTAGAGCGCTCACCTAGCATGTGCGGGGCCCTGGGTTCGATCCTCAGCACCACATAAAATAAATATGTAAAACAAAGATTGTGTCCAACTACAACTAAAAAATAAATATTAAAAAAAATTATTAGAGGGCTGGGGTTGTAGCTCAGTGGTAGAGCGCTTGTCTTGCATGCGTGAGTCCCTGGGTTCGATCTTTAGCACCACATTAAAAAAAATAATAAAAATAAAAATAAAGATATTATGTCCATCTAAAACTAAAAGTAAAAATTTAAAAAGTTATTAGATATGTGAAGTAGCAGGAAAACATGATCCTTAAGCAGAAGAAAATTAGTGATGAGAAACAGACCTGGTGAACTTGAATACACAGCAATAGGAAATGTATAAAAATGAAACACTAACGGGGAAAAAAAGACTAAAAAATTTAACATAGTCTCAGTGATCTATGGAACAATATGAAGTGGTTTAACAGAGTATAATCACAGTGCCACAAAGTGATTGCAGACAGACAATATATGTGAAGAAATAATGAATGAAATATAGTTGATTACTACTTGCAACAGTTTTCCCAAACTCATGAAAACAATAAACCCACAATCTAAGGAGTTAAACTAACTACAAGTAAGAGAAATATTACACTTTATAATAAAATAGCTAAAGATCATTAAGAGAAAATCTTAAAAGCAGCCAGAGGACAAAAAGATGCATTATGTTCTGAAATAAAAATTATGCAAAACAAAAGTAAAGAAGAGAAAAAAATCAACCTAGGATTCTATATTGAACAAAAATATCTTTCTAAAATGAAAGGAAATACTCAATGGTAGAGCACATGCCTGACATGTGAAAGGTCTTGGGTTCAAATCCCCAGTATCACATGCACATGCACACACACACACACACACAAAAAAAAAAAACATAAAGAAATAAATAAAAGAAGAATAATTTTTTGCAAAACAACAGACTGTGAGAATTTGTCCATAGGAAACCTGCACTAAAGAAATGTTAAAGGATTTTCTTTAAACAGAAGGCAAATGATATATGGAAATTTATAGTGTACTAGAGTTTCTCAACCTTAGCTCTATTGACATTTGGGACTGGATAATTCTTTGCTGTGGGAGGCTGCTCTGGGCATTGGCAGAATGTGTAAAAACACCCAGGGCAAAGTATCTCCAGACATTGACAAGTGTCTCAAAGTGAACAAAATGTCTATTATCTTACCCTCTTCATCAACTCTCTCCATGGAGACCAACTGATACATACAAGGGAATTAAGAATGCAAGAAGTGGTAGGTAAAAATAATCCTAAGTAAACAACAGCAGTATGACTTGCAAATAGAGTTTCAGTATCTTTTGTTTCTTTGTGGTTAACTTAATTGCTAACTAGTTGCTAAAGAACTTATTTGTGGCTGGTACACTGTCTCACACCTGTAATTCCAGCTACTTGGGAGGGTGAGGTGGAAGAATCTCAAGTTCAAAGCCAGTCTCAGCAATTTAGCAAGACCCTGACTCAAAATACAAAATACAAAAAACTGAGGCCGGAGGCACTGGCTGGAGAGGTTAAATCAGAGAGATCACAAGTTTGAGGCCAGCCTCAGCAACTTAGTGAGCTCCTGTTTCAAAACAAAAATAAAAAGGACTGGAAACATAGCTCAGTGATAAAGGACCCGTCAGTTCAATCCCAGCACAGAAAAAAAAATTGTCTTGGGCCTAAAAATATCGCTCAGTGGTAGAATGCTTGCCTAGTATGTGCAAAGCCCTGGGTTTGATCCTCAATATCATTTAAAAAAAGAATTTATTCGTAAGCATAGGGGATGTAACTCACAACACGTGAGTAAAGAATGAAGAATTTTAAAAATTAAAAATTATAAACGCTTAGTATAAAAACATTTAGAGGAAATGTATTATCCTGCCATCTAAACATAGTGATTGTTAACTTTCTGGTCTGTATCCACCCAGTTATTCTTCTATACATGATTTGACTGCTATTATCACATACACCTTTATTAATATTATATTAACAATAATTCCTTAGGCTAAAAAAAGGTAAATAGTAGAACAATATTCTAATAAGTACCATACTGCTTTTCTAAGCTCTTTTTCATCCTGGTAGGTAGATATTTAGGTGATTCCAAATTGTTTTACTTTTATTACAATGTTGTAATAATAATCTTTATGGAAAAAAATTTTTTCCATTTTAAGTTATTTTCTTAAGAAAAAATTCTGGTAATGTTTTTCCTAGATTAGCCAACAGTTTCTGGAAGGCTGAAACTGTTTCAATGTTGCATTGCCCCACATAAGCACAGGAAATGTTCAGTAGGAACTTACAGTGTGCCTAAACTGAACTGCGATGTGGTATAACTGCACTCACACTAACCAACTTCCGCAAACTACACATGTGTAGGAAAACCTACCAGAAAGCTGGCTTTGTTCATAAATTTGTACTAAATTCCAGCTGTGTTTTTGAATTGCAAAGGGACCCTTACCTGCAGCAGAAGCAAAGGCAAATTTTCAGGTGTGTACTCTCTTCTTAGGCAGCTCTCTAGCTCCCTCTGCAGGACATCTGCCTGAATAACAAGGGGCTTCGGCTCAGCCACCTAAATCCAAAAACTAATTTTAATATCCCAAATGAAGAACTGTAAAATTTCAAATCTCCAAGAAAACAACGGCCTGCTCTTATTTAGCAGGATATTTTGTTGGGATGTTTTGTTATCGTACACAGTGTCAATAACATCAGCTGTTTGATTGCAAAAATAAACTTTCCTTGCTAAATTTCCAAGTTAGCAAAATCAAATTTATTGTTGTATTGAAAAAGTCCACCATTACCCTCACCTGTAAGGTTTTCTTCAGTGCCAGTTCCCTTTCTCTTCTAAAGTAAGAGATGTCCTTTGGTATTTGAACAGAGCTGCAGAAAGATTTATGCAACAGAGCTGTAATCACAGAAGCTGTAATCAGATTATAGCTGGGCCTTGATTAATCTGTAACTCTTCACAACTGCTCATTCTCAAATATCTACTATCATATTATAGTAGATTATGGAGGGCATGTACAGGCCACATTCTTGTGTCTTAGAATCTTTTTCTCACAGACCTGATATTGGCTAACCCTTTCCCCAGGGTAATTTCTCTCACAAACATGGTCTGTCCTTCTATTCATAATTTGCCTCACTATTTCCTACTCCAGAGTCCAGAGAGGGACATATGGTAAGAATTTTTATTTCCCCTGCCTTTATTCCTCCAGGAATATCTCTGCCTTAATTCTTCCAGGAACTTTATCTCTAACAAGCAATGAGCTTTACCAAATCTCCCTCTTGCCCTAGTTGACACATAGCACTGGTATCTTGTAAAATTTTTTAAATATTTTTTACTTTTGTGTTCTTGCTGAATTACCTGAGGGTGAAGGTGACCTTAAATATCAAACAGGAAACACTCTAAGAATTATTGTATCCAAGTTTTCTGCCTCAGGAAGACTATTGATCTGTAGGATAAGCAGACTTAGAAGAAATGCCTGCTGGTGCAGCCTGATGGACCCTGGTCAAGCCCCGCCACGATGAGCTGTTCTCATCAGGGACTCTCATGCAGGCAGCATAAGCTGCAGGTCCAGGTAAGCAGATGGGGTCTGGTCAGCAAGAGCAGGGCTCTCCCTATTGGGTTTAAGATGCATCCCAAGGCTTAGCAACATTGAAACACCAGGGGACAGTAACCCTGATGCAGATGCCACTTTCTCAAGATGGGATGTTGTAGACATTGGCAAAGGAGCCACAGCAGGCAGTTCTGGAACACATGAAATGACCTAGAAATTTTGAGGGAGGTAGAAGCAGTGAAATTTAGGCTCCCATTCTTCATACAATCCTACTTGTCCTCACAGATAAGTTGTTTGTTTTTCCAGCACTGGGGATTCAACTCAAGGGTGCTCTAGCACTGAGCTACATCCCCAGAATTTTTATTTATTGTTATTATTACTTTTAAAATTTTGAAACAGAATCTCGCTAAATTGCTGAGGCTGTCTTCAAACTTGCAATCCTCCTGCCTCAGCCTCCCAACTTACTGGAATTTCAGGTGTGGCCCCATCAGCCCGGATCCCACAGACAAGTTTTTAAACTTCATGTTAGTTTGTACACTTGCCAGCAAATGGTTCTGTGAAAAGAACAGGAGGCTGACAGGAGATTGGTCAACCACAGGAACCTAATCAACGCATTTAGACACTTTGTGTCAAATTTCTCCCTCTGAAGCTGAGGGCATTGCCTCCCTTAACTTTCTCCTGGTACCTTGGCTTTGATGGGAAAAGAAAGAAGCAAACTCTGAAAGGGGCTTGAGAGTAAATATGTTAACAAATCAAAGGTGTAACTTGCATCTTGGCCACAGCCTCAAGGAGGTGGAGAGGCAGTGGCCAACCAGAAAGGAGATGGGCTACTGGACAGGGAAAACAGAAGAAAACTTCCTGGCCCTCGTGTCTCCTCATCTTTGGCAAACTGGGAGACTGGGCAGGGTCCCAGGCTTGGCTGCCCCACCCTCTCACTCAGATCACATCGTTCCTCTCAGTAAACCTCAAAGTGCCTGGGAGTGACCTAAAAGTGGCTGGTGAACCTAAGTGACGTGTACACTGACCCACAAATAGAGATTCACGCCTGTATGTCCATTTACCAATCAGCCATACACTTATTCAATCAGCAAGCACATAAGAAACACAACATTGCAAAGTCCAGGGCTTATGAGCTGAAATGAGGAAAAGAATGGGGGTGGGGGAGAAAGAGGAGGGTGGAGAAAAAGAAAGAAAGATGATTTTTTTCAGTGCCCTGGGAATACTTATTGGGAGTGGATATTTCCATTTTCCTTGGACTCTGGAATATAGCACAGTACCTGGCAAAGAGAAGGTGCTCAGCACTTGTTGGAATTAAGTTAGATTCTTACTAACAATCCTGGGTGGTTTGGGGGAATAGAGAAATATGGGTACCCAGGATTTCCCATTGAAACTGGGGAGGAAAAGGCTTTGCTGCTGGTTATGCTTCACTAAAGCTCAGGAGACTGGTTTGCGAGGGAACAGGTTTTACTGAAAGCCGATGAGCAGAGAGAAGACTTTCTTTCTCATAGAGGGTGTGGAAAGCTTTTATAAGAGAGGGACATAGAGGGATGGAAGCCAGGGAATATAATCTGTAGATTTAGCTTGGCTGTGTCTATCTAGCCAGAGAGTCTTGGTCTAATTTCCTTGGTGACTGTCCCCAGCATGAGAAAGTTTTCCGGTCTCTGTAAGGGGATGTTCAGGAGCTATTTCATCTTCAGTGTGCCCTAAAAGGGCTTTCCCAAAGCCTTTACACTTGTCTAACTCTCTTGACATGTAAGTTGTAATAATACCAACATTTTATTTTTGCATATAAAAAACTTGTTTTTTTTTCCTAGTTGTCAAAATGCTTTAACATGCATTATGTCATTTGATCCTCACAACCTAATAAAGGAGGAAAGGTACACTTTTTAAAAATATATGTTTTTAGTCTTTGATGGATCTTTATTTATTTATTTTTTATTTATATGCAGTGCTGAAATCGAACCCTGTGCCTCATACATGCTAGGCAAGTGCTCTACCACTGAGCCACAACCCCAATCCTGGGTACATATTTTTTCTTTTATTTCATTTTTCAAATAAATAAACCAAATTTGAGAGAAATTGTGACTTACATGGGTCACAATCTTTCCATTTCCTCTTAACAATTGCAATAGCTTTAAAGACCTATCACAACACATACCAAGTAATAGTTCTTCAGAATCATCTTTCGAATGAAGCACTAATTCACCTGGTTAGTGTCTCTTCCAATCTCCTCTCCATATTGCTCACCATCCACCTTGTACTTACTCTAACCAACAGAGTTTTCATGTTGTTCCTTTTGATGAATTATAACAGAAACAAAACAAAAAAAAATGTGAAGATCCAGGGCCCATGAGACTCTCCACTTAGGGACTGATCTGGCTACCCTGTTTAAAAGAATTTGATAGCTCTCATTGGCAACATTTACCCTATAAAAGAACGCCTAATCCAAAAAGCATTTTGTAGAATTCATTATGAAATATTTAGCATGAAATATTTCAGGTTTTAAATTTCTCATCGAAATCAAGATCAAACTCAGTTAAAATGTTATAAGATGAAATCTCTTTATGGAGTATGATTTCTACAATAGCTTCTGGAACTTTAGGATGGTAGTGTTCGTGAACATGTAGGAACATTTCCCCACTTTCTTCAGTGAGACATTGATTGTTCCAACCTGTCTTAATAAATCTAGAATGTAGGAAAACTTTAGGGGGAGCAGTAGGTTAGAAATGGGCAATTGGTCTGTCTCTACCACCCTGAATGCTCAGATCCTGCCTGAGCTCAAAAGCTATGCAGGTCTGAGCCTGGTTAGTATTTGGGTGAAAGAAAGGGGTGCGGAAACTGCTGCTGCACGTCATTTGTCTGAGTTTGAGATCATGTCCATTGTCCAGGTAAAAAAAAAAGAGCGGGGAGGACTGATGGAGATTATGGGGTAAGAGCGGGAGGTTAAAGCCCTGAGGACCACACTTTCTCACTCCTACTATTTACCTGTAAGCTCGATGAGCTGCTCCCTGAAGGATCTCTTGTTCTTCTATTTCAGACTTCAGTTCACTCAATTGCACCGCCAGTTCCTTCTCCAATAGCTGGGTCCTCTCTGTGGAAGTGATCTTATAAATTTCATCCATGTTTTGCATTTGCTCTTTTTCCGTATCCCTGAAAAAGGAGGCATAAAGCTTGTGGCTGACTTCCCCAGCAACCATTATCCAGCCCGTCGGACTTTGTCTCCAAGAAATAATGTCAACTTCATTAAAAAACATGCTTTTGCAATTTGAAGGAACATTCGGGTTAGACTGCTGTTATTTATAATTTATTACCATTATGTAAATAGTAGAGAAAAAGTAGGTTAGACTCTCCACTCACCAAAATCACCTGCTTAAAATTGGCAACTGTTAGGAGAAAACATAGGGTCAACACTCCATAAGATTGGTTGCAGGCACTGACTTCTTCAACCAGATCCCTAAAGCTCAAGAAATGAAACACGAATCAATAAGGGAGATGCTACCAAATTTAAAAGTTTCTGCACAGCAAAGGAAGTGATTGAGAGCACTGGTACCACCAGTGATGAGAACCAATCAGGGCCAAGGTCCATTTCCCCAGATGTGACAATGGAACACTGGAGACTCCGAGATAAGCATAGAAGGCAAGTTTTATTTAAAGGATAGAACAGAGACAGACTTCTCCTCAGAGAAGGGGTCCAGAGCTGGTATCCAAAGATGGATACCAGCTTTTATACATTTTAGATTTTCTTTGTTCTCATGCCCTTTCCCCCCCTTATCTTGCTTTTCTCTTCTCCCCATCTTGCTTACGTGACCATTGGTCAGGAGATGAGCCAAAAGGTGAGAAGGAAGCCCTCCAGGTGTAACTTTCTACATCTGCTCAAACAGGCAGCCCTGGAGATGCTTGTTAACAGCTCTTTGGGAGGAACTGTTCCCCATAGGCAGGTCACCTTGGTAATGGGTGGAGGGGGAAGGGCTTTGGAAATGTCAGCTTTGGATTTTCTTTTCTTTCCTTTCCAACCAGCCCCCATCTTCCCCATCCAACCCAACTGTTCATTAACTATATTGACGGCTATTTGTTCCCCAGCTTCAGCATGAAGAGAGAACCTACAAAATAGAAGAAATTTTTTTTACCAGTTACTGCTCTGACAGGGGATTAATATCCAGAATATACAGAGAACTCAAAAAACTTAATACTGATAAATGGTTGGAAATGGAGAACATCATGCTAAATAAAATAACCAGATTCAAAAAATCAAGGGTCGAATGTTTTCCCTCCCGTGGAAGCTAGAGCAAAATAAGGAAAAAAAGAACAGGGATCAGATGTCATGAAGATATAGGGAAGATCGATGGAGTGGAAAAAGGAAATTGAGAGGGAGGAAGGATAGGAAAGAGGAGGAAATGCAATTGAATTTAATAAAATCGCATTGTGTGCATATATAAAGATATCACAGGGAATTCCACCTTTATGTATATACTGTAAATAGTAGGAAAAAAGTAGGTTAGACTCTCCACTCACCAAGATTACCCTCTAAAAATTGGCAACTGTTAGAAGAAAATATAGGGTCAACACTCCATTAGATTGGTTGCAGGCACTGACTTCTTAAATAAGAACCCTAAAGCTCAAGAAATGAAACAAGAATCAATATGGGAGATGCTACCAAATTAGAAATAAATAAATGAGTGAAAGGAAGATCAATAAAATAAGGGAGATGCTACCAAATTAAAAATAAATAAATGAGTGAAAGGAAGATCAATAAAATAGAAGAAGGAAAATAGTGGGGGGTTGGGGGAGGGAGTGGGGAAGAAAAGGGAGTAAATCAAATTACATGCATGTATGATTTTGTCAAAATAAACCCAACTATGTATGACTACAATGGCATAACAACAACAAAAAAAATTGTCTGCTGAATTGGTATCATATAATGACAATGAACAACGAGGACTTTCTATTTTAAATGAGACCAATGCAGGGGAAGGGCAAGATGATTGGGGACCCAAATAGAGGTCATGCCCTGTGTGAAGAGGTTATCTTCTTTACCCAATGGTACCCATAGCCCGTACTGCCTCTGGAATTACCAAACGCACCAGGTAGGGGACATGTCACCTGAATCCTGGGGGGGGGGGGAAGCATCTTTCAGTCTGAAAAATCCACAAACTCTAACAGATCCTAGGCAAAGGCAAAGAGAACAGATCTACAAAAGGTACCATTAGCATTTTTTCCCTTCTGGCAAGGCACTGAGGCAACTGAAATTAGTGTGATGTGTAGAAAATGAAGGAATCCTGTATTTCCTGGTGCTTTCTTCCTGGGAGTGGTGGTGCACTCCTGATCCAGACTACTGGGTGATACCACCGGTTATCCGAGCCGAGTTCTGCTCCCTCAAGCACACTGAGTCAAGCATATAAAGCAGGGTTTGCTTTAAAAGGAGTAACACACACCTCTCCCGGAAGGGAGAAGGGAGCCATAGTTGTATCCTGGTATCCCACGAAGTGAGGATGTTTTTGCCCCTTTTATACATCCTAGATTTCTTTGTTCTTTTGCCTCCCTCCCACACCTTATCTCTTTCTTTCCTGCATATGTGACTAAGCTCAGGAGATGGCCCTTGTGGGATGGCCAAAAGGTGAGAAGCAGATGGGCAGGGAGAAGAGCCAATGGAGTCATCCAGGCAAGTAGGAGCCTCGAGACAATAATTAACAACTTTTATTACTCCCTGTAGGGAGGGACAATTCCTGGGACAGGTTACCTTAGCAACAGGTTGGGGCAGGGGCAGGTTATCTTTTTTTTTTTTTTCCTAATGATTTTTTAGTTGTAGGTGGACACAATAACTTTATTTTTATTTAGTTATTTTTATGTGAAGCTGAGGATCAAACCCAGTGCTTCACTTGGGCTAGGCCAACGCTCTCCCACTGAGCCATAACCCCTGCTCCCAGGGGCAGGTTATCTTGATGAGAGTGGAGGAAGGTCTCTGAAGACATTAACATTTCAATCCCTCAGGGATGGTCTCCAAATTGGCCTCCATTCTCTCTACCTGACCAGATTACCTATCTACACTGACTGCCTATCTTTAATTCTGGCTTCCTCAAGAGGCTGCAGCAGGAGGATCTCAAGTTCTTGGCAAATTCAAAGCTGTTCTGGGCAACTTGGCAAGATCCTATCTCAAAAAAGGGTAGGGGAGGGAGGGGTGTCTGGGGTTGTAGCACAGTAGAGTTCAGTGGTAGAGCACTTGCCTGGCATGTATGGAGCCCTTGTTTGGACCCCAGTACCACCAATGAAAGAGAGTGAACCTTTTTTTCCTCCAGTTTCTGAGGATTTGAACTGAAAACTAGCTCAGCATCCATTGATAAAGGAATGAATTAAATCGATAAGGACAGATCCATAATGCTTAGTGTTCTTCCCTTAAATGTGTTTTTTCCCCCTTTGACCATTTAAAATATACAAAAATTACAAGGAAATTAATAGTAACACCATGAGGTTGGGGCTGTAGCTCAGTGGCAGAGCGCTTGCCTTGGATGTGGAAGGTACTGGGTTCGATCCTCAGCACCACATAAAGGCAATGCTGTCCATCAACAGCTACAAAAAACTTAAAAAAAAAAAAATAGTAACACCATGAAATCACTGGATATGATCTAATTATGTTAATGTCCTCACATTAATATGTTTTCCTATATATTTACCTATGTGTGGGTATATGTATGTGGACATGAAATTCCTCGCTTCAGTATAAATAAATTTTGTGAATTTTAAAAATGGTCCCTGTTCCAGTTTTGACTGTGGGGGTTTATCAGGTGAGAATGTGTGCCTCTTGCCCCACCTTCAGGTTTTCAAAGATTTGTGGAGATTATATTCTAAATACTATGAATGGCAGTTATTGCTGACATCTAACCTGCTTCAACTGGAACATGGGTATGTACAATATTCTCTCCACATAGCTAAAGTGTTTATCCATAGGTTTTATTATTATTATTATTATTATTATTTGTTTGAAGACATGAGCTTCTGGCTATGCAAAATATACCAAGGATGGAGAACTGTTTAACATGATCATGAAGCTGGATGCAGTGGTGCATGCCTGAAATCCCAGTGACTGGGGAGGCTGAGGCAGGAGGATTAGGGGTTCAAAGCCAGACTCAGCAACTTAGCGAGGCCCTAATAACTCAGTGAGACCCTGTGTCTAAATAAAATACAAAATAGGACTGGGGATATGGCTCAGAGGTAGAGCGCCACCGGGTTCAATCCCAAGTCCAAAAACAAAAACAGCATGATCATGATCCATGCATATTTGGGTTTGGAAGAAAATTATACTTGTGCATTAAATGTGTTTTCTTCATTTTGGCTGTCTATATTCGACTTCCTGATTTTACCACTGAATAAAAATAGTGGATAATTTCCACCCCACTCCCATCTGGTTCACAGTCAAGACAAATTCAAC